AAGTAGAATTCGAGCCTTGATTTAAGTGACAAGTATTTGAAGCATTTATTGAAGTTATAGGCTTAAAAATTGTACACAAAATATGTTTATATCTACATGCTCCCTCTCCCAACACACACGTATATATTGGTTACCAGTAAAAAAAATAACCTTATCTATTATTGCGGTTTTTAAAGCTGATTACTCACCTGAGTGCGTATAAATAAATCTGTATTCTATAAATATATGCTTTCTTCAGTAACACCCCACCCCCAGTGGCACAGCGGAATATCTCGGGGCTTATAACGCTAGAACCCGGATTTCGATACCAGCAAACCTGTCAACTTTCCCGAATTCGGAGGGAGTTTCCCGATATCAACCTTTTTAGTAATTCAACAAAAGAATAGTCGCAAAATTCAACTTCACATGTACAAACCACGATAAAGTAAATATTTACTGTGTAACATTGTGTTATACTGTCTGCTTGTTGTACCACATTCAACTTCACATGTACAAACCAGGATGAAGTAAATATTTACTGTGTAACATTGTTGTGTTATACTGTCTGCTTGTTGTACCACATTCAACTTCACATGTACAAACCAGGATGAAGTAAATATTTACTGTGTAACATTGTTGTGTTATACTGTCTGCTTGTTGTTCCACATTCAACTTCGCAGAGTGCCAACCAGAATAAAGTAAATATTTACTGTGTGACATTGTTATACTTTGTTGTTATACTGTCTGCTTGTTGTTCCACATTCAACTTCGCAGAGTGCCAACCAGAATAAAGTAAATATTTACTGTGTGACATTGTTATACTTTGTTGTTATACTGTCTGCTTGTTGTAACACATTCCAATGCATCGAGTGAAATGGCATTTTCAATGGTGAGAAATATCGTAACAGAGAACAGGACTAATTTAGGCCAGTAAATACAAGCCCAACAAGCAGGTCCCAAGTCCAGGATGAGAAAGGGGGAGGGTTGGGCGCGGGGCTAGCAGTAAAAAACCAACCTGCTACAAGTAAC